AACACACCCCTTTCAACTAATTGCCCAATTGCACAGCCTTAAGAGCGTGCATATCATGAATGCTGGGTCTTGTTTGCTTTCTGAGAATCTACTGCACCTACTGGTAACTTGTTTGCCATGTAGCAATAAAAAATATACTAAAAACCTGGATTATTCTGGTTAGTCACATTGTACTGCTATTATTTTGAACAATACTGTATATATACATACACACACACACACACAGGTATTGCACTGAGGGTTATTGTCTAATCATACTGTGATGGGTTAAGTGTTCATCAGAGTGACAGCCCGGGGAAAGAAACTGTCCCTGTGCCTGGTTGTCTTAGTGCACAGTGACCTGTAGCGTCGTCCAGAGGGGAGGAGTTCAAACAGATTGTATCTGGGGTGTGAGGGGTCTGCTGTGATCCTCTCCGCCCTCCTTTTGACCCGTGCGGTGTACAGGTCCTCCATGGAGGGCAGGCTTGTACCAATGATCTTTTCTGCAGTCCTGACTGTCGCATACTGATGGTTGTTTGGTCTGAGAACATTTGACCACAATATATTTTAAGCGAACTCTTTTGAAACAAATAGTAATGCACTTTTAATGCATTCCTACATCAATGTAGGAATTCTTTAACTGAGTCAGTGTATTTTTCAGACACCTGGCTGGTTAATATGTTGCCAACATTGTGCAAAGATGTCATCAAGGAAATCAGTGGCTACTTTGAGGAATCTAAACTTTGTAACATAGTATGCTTTAACATGTTTTTTCTTCCTTTGGATGCTGCAGCCAATACGTGTGGGGTGATAAATATGGTACTCTCTCAAGGAAAACATTAAACTAAAAAGAAAAGATGCACTGTTGTCCCAAAGTCCTTCTTAGAAATATTTAAAACAATGAAGAAATGAAGTGTGGCTCTGCACACTTGGAGTAGTAGTGCTCACTCACCTGTCTGGTTTGGCAGTGCAGAGAAATTTTATTTTTCCAAATGGCCACACGGAGTAATGACTTGCTTAATCAATTTGACATGAAGGCAATGTCTACCTTTTGATTTTGTGCTGTAAGTGTGAGATTTTGCTGATAGCACTTCATACTCTGACTTACTATTGGTACTAACGGTGTGTCTCCTCAGCCCAGTCGTCCATCCAACACCATGGGAAAGAAGAGTCGAGTGAAGACTCAGAAATCAGGCTCAGGAGCCAGCGCTGTGGTTTCACCCAAAGAGATGATGAACCTAGTCTCTGAACTGCTACAGAGTAGGTTTACTTTAAACATCTACACTTAGTCCATGCTCCTGGGACACTCATCCCACTTCCCTCTGCAGACAGAAATGTCAAGATGTTAACATGAATCAAGGCATATGCACTGTTTGTTTTAATGGCATGTTGGGAACTAACTAAATATGGAAGTTCATTTTCTCACTTCTCCTGGCGAATTCATTTACAAACATGGACCCTTCCGTTAAAGATAGAGAAACTCACAATGGTCACTGAAATAATGTGAAACTGGCAAAAGTAATAATAAATAAAAATTTACTGAAAATTAAGTAATGAAAATCAGACATAGCTTTTAAATTGTGGTTAAAGCATTTTACAAAACAAACTAATGAAACTGGCCTGGACAAAAATGATGGTACCCCTAGAAAGGATTGAAAATAATTTGACCATAGAGACATGTTAAACTAAACTGTGTCCTCTAATTAGCATCACAGGTGTTTTCAAACCTGTAATCAGTCAGTCTGCCTATTTAGAGGGTGAAAAGTAGTCACTGTGCTGTTTGGTATCATGGTGTGTACCA